TTGATAGATTTACTGACCGATTGATTGATTGACTACTTTATTGATTGACTAACCGAATCATTGATTGACTGACTGATCAGTCAGACCAATCAATCAATCAGATTCGCCGACTGATTGATGCTCAATGTAGATCGCTATAGTTTGTAATTTCACCGGCAAGTGGCGAAAATTGAAGAAAAACTGTTCGGAAAATGAGTGAAAAATGTCGAATGAAATTTCAAATTGTTTGTTGTTCAATCAATCAGCTTCAAGCTGACATTCAAATATCTATAACTATTGACAAACGGAAAACTTATCGTCTGGTATTTATTTCATAGGCATTTGGTAGACAAAAAGATCATTTCTGAATCACGCAGAATAACGGTTTAAATAAACAAACTCAACTGAAATCCAACTGAATCAATAAGAGCACCAAATTTGATATAAGCTAAACGTTTATTTGTTCAAAAATTGTTTCAAGCTCTGTTTTGGGTTTGTAAAACGATTTGATCAATGACATATTCGGAGCAACATTTATATATGTATGTATATAGACGTATTGCTCTGCAAAGTTGCGATAAGGTTGAGGTTAGAAGGTTATGTACGAAGATTTCTTCAAGTACGTTAAGTTAACTTTGAGTTTAAGTTATCATTATGTTTTTAGTTGTGTTTATTTAAGGTTAGGTTGAACCAAAGACTAGACTAATGAGTATGAAATGTAATTTATATATATATATATATAGAAAACGAAAGTTTACAGTTTCATTCAAGAAATAATTCCATTTGTCGATCAAAATAAGAGCTAAGGCGAATCAGTTGGATTTTTAATTGAGGTTAGGTTAGGTTAAATTGAGGTTAAGTTGAACGCAAGACCAACTCAAGCAAGGCTTGAAACAGCACTTTTACACAATTTAACATTTTTACTTTTCATTTATTTTTCAATGCTTTTGCGTTCAGCCGTAGATTAATTTAAATGTATTGCCAAAGTAATCAATCTGTAGTTAACCTCTAGCTCTCCATTTCAGCAGGGCGATAACGGTGTCTGACACACATATGTACACGTACACACACACACACACACACACACACACGTACATATGCATGCCTGAATGATACAGTAAACAGTTGTTTATGCGAAATAGCCGTACTTAAGCGCTTGACCCCCACAAAGTATTTGCAAGCTAATGACATTTAAGCTAAAGATTCGATCAATTTTCATAGTTGTTGTTTGCGTCTCTCTCTCTCTCTCTCTCTCTCTCTCTCTCATCTCTGTCAGTGCCTGTCCCTGAAGGCGCCCAACGAGCCGCGGCGACCCCACCGCAAGAAATGACAGAGACATACGCACACATACGCATGCGTGCATACATGCAAGCCTAGACATTGTTATATGCATACATACATACATACATATATATTTATGTATGTACTTTGGCACTCAATTGAGCGGCCATTAGCAAGGCAACAGCAACAAATATGATCATGAAGCGCATATGAAGACAATTTTTAAGATTACAACAACAACAACAACAGCAACAACAGCGCCAGGCAATGACAATAGAATATGAAGTGTATGAACAGGCAGGCAGGCAGGCAGGCAGGCAGGCAGGCAGGAGAGCAGCAGAGCAGGCCAGCTCCTCGCTCAATAAGCGCGTCATGAGAACGGCCGCGTGTGTCCGAGCGAGAGGGCAAGTGGAGCTCATACATATCTGTTGTTGTTGTTGTTGCTGCTGCTGCTGCTGGTGTGGGAGATAGCGAACGATGAGCGACGACATCGCACGAGTGCACACAACACACTCGACGACTGACGGACAGACGCAGAGACGTTCACAGTATTGATACACACACACACACATACAGGCACACAACAGCCAGCAGTAGCTCATACATATGTATTTATTTATTTCGCTCAGCTCGTTTGCCTGTTCGTTTATTATTATTTTTGTTTTTTTTTTTTTTTTACAACTCGAACAACGATAATAATAATAATAATAAGCAACAGCAGCAAACGTCAGTAGCTGGCACGCAAATAATTTATTTATAATTTGTATATCTGTTAACTTGCATTCAAACACACACACACACACACACACACATACACGTATGTGTATATGTGTGAGCAGACACAAAGCTTGCACATTCGGCAGCTTGCATATGGCGGCAACTTTGGCAACATGTTGCTGTGCATGGCATCTGATGTGCGTGTGTGTGTGTGTGTGGGTGAGACCAACTCCAGCACACACACACACATGCACACATGCACACATGCACACAGATGTTGAACTGAGGCCTGGACCTGCATATTAATCGAACTGTTTTCAATCGCAGCGCATAAAATAAATTGACGTTCCACAGGCTGAATTTGCCCTTCTCTTCCTCTTATTCTGCTGCGCTGCTGTTGTTGCTTCTTCTTCTGCTTAGGTAGGTAGTCGCAACTCTACAGCAATGGCGACCAATGTCGGGACATGCACACACACACGCACACGCACACACATAAATACATATTTAGTTTTATTCCCGCATGTATACATATATGCATGTATGTATGTGCGTGTGTGTAAGCATGCATATGTTTGTATGCGTGTATGTATGTATATGTGCATGCATGTCTACAATGCAACGGCCGCGACGGCGTTTGTTATCGCCTTGGCAGGAAATGAAATTATATTCGTAAAAAGTGGTCGCTGCCTGGACGGACGGACGGACGGACGGACTAACTGACTGTCCCGTTCCATTCCATTTCGTAGCGTCCCAGCTTGCCCCCTGGCCTTGCAGTCAATGTATATGTATGTATGTGTATATGTGTGGGTCTGTGTGAAGCTGAAACGTAATATGATTACGAAGCGCTGAGGATTTGATATAACAAACTAAGCATTTTGCTTTTGGGCGCAAGCAGCAGCAGCAACAAATTAACCAGCCAAGCAGGCAAGCAACAACAACCATAAAGAGAGCTGTGCATATAAATTTCATAATAAAAGTAACGAAACAACAACAACAACAACAAAAACAGTAACAGTAACAGCTACAACGAGACAACGACGACGAAATCAAAAGTTATGCGAAAAAGTGAATTTCAGTTGAGCAGCAGCTTCATCCACCTGACAACAACAACAAAAAGTGAACGCATTTTGCGCACAAACACAAACACACACACACACACACACACACAACATGCAAAGCAGTAGAAGCAGCTGAGCAGTAAATATGCTCAAGTGAGTCGAGTATGCCCAACTGGTAGATGCCCTGTACCTGACAAGCGACTTAATAGATTACTACTGTTTTTCTTATAAATAAAAAGCAAATCGATATCATGGCCAATCAACAATATATATGTATATATGTGTGTGTGTGTGTAACATGCATTTGCGCAACTTTAATATACCCTTTAACACACTTATGCAGCATAACAAGTTGAGCAAACGTGTTTGCCGCTGCTCAAGTGCATATCTTAACGGACAAACTTGTCGCCTGGGCGACAGAAGCAGCGACCGCAAGAAAAATAAAAGCACAACAAGCGCTAGCAGGCAGACAGCAGCGACGGCGGCAGCGCTGGCTGATCGCTTGGCTGCTGCAGCAGCAGTTTCAGTTTCAGTTAGGTATGCATGCATATATACACATATACATATATATAAATGTGTGTGTGTGTGTGTGTGTGTGTGTGTGTGCTGCGCCCTTTCGCTTTCGGCAGCAATTTTGTTGCTATTGCCTTTTGCCTACTGTTGCTGCTGCTGCTGCCGTTGCAGTTGTCGAAAAAAAAAAAACTGCTGCGTAATGCCAGGCGATTGCGATTATGAAAAAAAAAACCAAATAAATTTCCACTGGCATTGCAATAATAATCGCTGGCAATCGCCGCGAACAGCGCTCAATAATCGATAACACAACAAATATACTTTTGCGTGCAGAGCCAAAGTTCAGGCAATCAAAAAGAAAACACACGAAAAACAGAAAACAAAACAAGAAGTAAGAAAAAAAAAAAAATAAAAAACAAAAGCTTTGCAACTTTTATCGGACATCAACCTGTGACAAATGTCTCTGTACGGCTCTGTATGCGTGTGCGTGTGTGTGTGTGTGTTGGTGAGTTGTTTATTGTTGCTGCTCGTTGTATATAGTTGGATTCTACTTGACCCGTCCGTCCGGCATTGCACTCGTGTTTTTATTTGATTTTAGTTGCTCTTTTTTCTTTTTTCATTTTCTGTACGCAACAAAACAAAAGCTACTTTGGCGCAGCGCCCCCTCCTCCCACCATCGCCTCCTACTCAGCGCTCACCCTTCCAGTTCGCCGTGTTAATGGCATCAACTTTGCACGTAACCGCAATCGAGAGTCGCGGCGAAATAACTTTAAACTTGAAGCTCTTGGCGTTAGTTTTTTTTTTTTTCTTGTTTTGTTTTCAGCTCAGCCTCTCCGCATTGAAAGCAAAAGGCAAAAATCACTAAACGAAAATCCAAACCCGGAACTTACGAACCTAATCGAATTTGTTGTCGATCAGCGAGCGGCCCGCAGCAACAATAATAACAACAGCTGCCGCCGCTGCTGGCGTTGGCGTTGACGTTGACGTCGATGCCGGCGTCGCAGCAGACACTTAAATACATATGATGATGAGCTTTTGTTGTTAACGATGCTGCCTGATGACGACAATACAAACTGTTTTACAGTTACAGGACTGGAAGACTGGAAGATTGCCACCTGCTCACTTATCACGACGTGCTGCTGCCTTATCGTGTAGTTGTTTTTTTTTTTTTTTTTTGTTTTTCATATTTATTTGTTGTGGCCTGTTAAATTTATGAGTTTTTACCAGCCAAAATAATTATGAATCAACGCATAATAAAAATATTAAAAAAAAAAAAAAAACAAATAAAAGTGTAACGAAACGGAAATAATATACAAACACATGTACACACATACACGTATGTGCATTTGTATGCATGCACATGAGAAACAGACGAAAAAAAAAAAATAACAAACAACACTCCAATTGAGCAAAATTCAGTTGAGTGTAGATCCTGAGCACATTGTGGAGACTTACCGTTTGGAATATGTCATCGCATTCGAAATAGTGTGTATTGCCAACGATATTTGCAGTTCCAGTTGAATTTTGTACAATTGTCGCCGACATTTTTGTTGCCGTTGTTTACTGTTGTTCTGCTCCGTGCTGCACTCTCTCTCTCTCTCCCGGTCTACACTATGCTGCTTCTTCTTAGCGCGGCCTCTCGTATTTCACTGGACAGCGCAAAAACAAATTCTTTATCTTTGCTTCTATTTCGTCGACTTTTTCTTCTTCTTCGTCTTGCTGTTGTTGTTATTATTTTGCTGGACGTTTGATGTTGTTGTTATTAATTTTTAATTCTTAATTTTTTTTTTGCTGACTATTGCTTGGAAATTTAATTGCGTTGAATTTTGATATTTTGTTAAGAATTTTGTTTGGGTTTATGTATGTATATAATTTGCACTAGTTGAACGATTCTTGTTGCTTGTGTTGTTATGACTTCTTGACAATTTTGATATTTGCTAGTTAAATTGTTGTTGTTCGTTTTTGTTGTTGTTGGTATTGTTATTGCGTTGCGCGTGTTGCATTTCAATCAACAGGCTGGAAGGAGAGACGAAACAAAACAAGTACGATAGCGTTAGAAAAAATTCTACACTCCGTGTGTGTGTGTGTGGGGCAGGCAGAGGCAACAGGCAGGCAGCAGAATCACACAGCTACACGTGCGCTGCGTGAATGTGTGCGATCGTGCGTGTGCATGTGTGTGTATGTTTTTACAAACGTACTCGAATTTGAGCCGCGGCTCTCCAAAAAAAAAAAAAACAAAAAAAAAAGGATTTTCACGCACATGTGTTAAGCATTAAACCAGAGCAAGAGCGACTTGAATGTTCGACGCATTTACTTTGTCCCTTCTTATACATATATATATACATGTTTTTTTTTTTTTTTAGTTCCAAAACAGCCGATTGCTGTTGTTGTTTGCTTTGCTTTTATCGTCTTCGTTTTCGTTCTCGCAGCAGCAGCAGCAGCAGCAGCAAGAGATAAGCTTGTCGTCGTCGTTTGCCCGATCGTGTTCTTTACACACACACATACGCGCGCGCGCGCGCGCGACGCAAGTGTGTTTGCGGGCGTATGTGTGCTAGTGGTGGTCGTATTTCAGCTCAAATCACATGCTGTTGCTGTTACTGCTGCTGCTGCATGTGTGTGTGTGTGTGTGTGCGTGTGTGTATGTGTTTGTGTAATATTGTAGCTGCGCAAGCAGAACAAGCGCAGGCAGACTTTGTTATTGCCGTCGATTTTATTTCAATTTTTATGCATGTCCTCTTCGGCTTGTTTTTTTTTTACACATACACACACACACGCATGACCACTTAGGATGGAGAGCTGCGGGATTTGAGTTAAGCCTTACCGATTCGAATCGTTCCTCGTGTGCTTGTATTTGTGCGCGCTTATTTGAAAAAAGTTGCGTTTGGCGAGGTTTCACAAACATTTAACGCTTCAAAATTCCCGCGCTTCTGCCAAGTAAAAAACACGCGCACTCTTCACACATGCACACACACACACATACATCAATTCAATGTTTTATTGCAGGGGCAAGACCAACAAAAACAAAAACAAAACGGAAAAAAAAAATATTATAAAAATTATATGGCAATTTGCAACCGAAATTGCATAGCTAGATGTATGCTATGTGTGATTACTGTTTTTTTTTTTTAAATAATTTTTTTTATTTTCAAATATTAAAAAAATTTCAATAACAAACTCGTTGCCGCCTACTTTGATCGAGCAAAATTTTAAAATGATCAAAAAAAATACGTATATATATAGATATATATATAAGATTGATGATCACAACACAATCGCACACTTGTGGCTTACTTTGCTGCTGATCCCGTTGCCGAGTGCACACAAATTAACTAAAATACGAGTGTTGCAAATATCCTGGCACGTTTCGCACCTTTTGTTTTTGTGCAGCAAACAAAAAACACGTCCGCTCTCAATAATGAATGTTACAAATATGAACTGTTATCCCACTGTAGTGGTGATAGACCATCGATGGCAGCATCAATAATATCGATAATTTCAGCGATCCTATGCGGTACTATCGAATCGCGTGCTGTTATGCTCAATGTACACTGTTGAGACTGCTGTTAAACTCAAATTGGTCATGCAAATAACATTTCTCTGTAAGGCTTCAACTGATCAGCATTTTTAATTTATTAATATGTTACTGTCGAACTAAGTTTTAAAGATGTGTAACAATTGAATAAGCTTAAGTGCCATGTAGTTTGTTTATTTAGCTTTTATAAATCGGCAAACTTATATGCCCAAGAGGTGCTCTGACCGTTAACTGCTAACATCTTATTACTCAAAATGGCACTGTTAGACCATCAAAAAACTAGAAAAAATAACAGCGCGCGATTTGAAAAGATATTCTTTAATTCTTTAAATAACCTTGCTCAATTGCACTAACAACCTGTCGTGTTGGCATTGATGAACTGCACAAATAATTGCGGCACCTGCTCCAGCGGCGCCGGCGTCGTCTGGCTGGCCCGGCAAGTGCTCGTTATGAACTTTTGCCTCAAGCGATTCAGCTGCATGGGATTCATGGATGTGGCTACCTTGACCTTTGTGGTGCTGCCCTTGATGCGCAGCTGTCCGTAGGCGCCAATTTTGGCAGCGCCCAATATCTCCTTAATGATATCCTGCATGATAACGTCCAGCTCAAAGAGGTAATTCGTAGCACCCAAAGGCGGCTGCAAGCGAACGAAAACGTGAGACAAATCGAAGCGAATATCGTTTTTGCGGCACATGTGCTCACGTTCTGTGTGCTCTGGTTGGGCGGCAAGGGTTGTGTCTCAAACAGCGACTTATAGATGCCCTCCAAATCGATGCTGTCCTCGGGCAGTGCCACATACAAGGGGCTGTCCCAGCGGCTATTACTGTGCGGCTCCTCGTAGCGCATGCACAACGCATCGAAAATCTCGCGGGTGTAGGGCACATTTGAGTTGTTTAGCGGCTGTTCGCTGGATGCTGCTGGATCCAATCGATCCGGCTCGCTGCGTTGCATATTGAATGCCCAGGCCTGCTCCTGCGGTATACAGGTGAACACCGTGCACTGTGTGGTCCGCGCCGCCTTTGTCATGCAGAAGAGCTCGTAGCGAAAGCCTGCGCAAGTCGATTTATGATCGAGTAGTTATAAAGTGATATTAAGACTTGAACCTACCTTTGATATAGTTGCCCGCATCGAGTATGATCACATCCTGCTTGTTCAGTTGCCTGGACGCCTCCGACTTGAGATCGCTGCGCACAACCTTCTCCTTTTGCGAGTCGCCAAAGAAGGCGTTCTTCTCGAACAGCGCCTTGGGCACGGCCACATTTTCGCTTATTAGATGCACCTTTTTGCCCCTAGCCACAAAGTACTCCTGCAGCTGATGGGCTCGTGTTGATTTGCCGCTTGCCGGCAGGCCAGAAATAACAATAATTGGCATTGTTAACGGATTATTCGTATTGCATTTTATTTTGTAAAAGTGCTCGAGCGTGTTCTGGCCAGTGTTGTGTAATGCTCATACGATGAATACTCAGTTAACATCGTTAGAGCGCGTTTATTATTTGATTAAATATCGATATTTTTATCCTACACTCATTTTGTTTTGTATTTAACGTGTTTTTGTTCGCAACAGAATCTAATTGTTAGCCATGAATTGGTTATTATATAAAGTCGAGTCTGTATTATTCAATCTATTTCTCTTAAGTCAAAAGATATTATAATAAAACTTTGTATAGATGGCATTTTCACTGCAGAAACAATGAGTCAAAAATTAAGTTGTTCTATACGAAAAATGTTTGGCATTTGCCTGAAAAGCAAAGTAAATACCAGTATTATATATCTCTAAAGAAGGTATTTTATTGTCATTAGCCCGAAAATCCTTTTTCTTAGTTGTGCATGTAGTACACTATATAAATAAGTATTTTAAAAATTATTCCAAGCGACGATTAACTATCGATTATTTTAATCGTTCATCAAATAGATTTTCAGTGCTGCTAAATTCTGCGCAAAAGCAGACTTAAAACAATTGCCGCCATCTGGCAACACGCACAATTCACAACCAGCTTCAGCTGGTAACCAAAATTCCATTGCTGCACTGCATCCAACATTTGTTACACTGTTTGCTGCGTTGTGTCTGGCCTGGGCATGGCAGAGAACCGTCGACGTTTTCGCAATAAAAAGCGGGTGAGTGCCCGATGTGATTTCGTTTTAATTGTTGACGGCAAATGCTTAACCAGCTGTTGTTTAGGATGATGGACGTCCGGGTCCGTCGCCGACAACGCCGGTGACAATTGCCAGGCGCGAAGAGTCACGCACGCCCGTCGTTCAGCCAAAGATATTGCTGAAAAAGGAGGCCGAATCGAATGCCGGCAGTGGCAGCAGCGGCAGCAACAATGAGCTTCCCACATCCATTAAAACCATTATCATCAATCGCAGCGATGCGCGCCACAGCCACAGCGAACGTAACGCCTTCCCGGGCGCCAGCACCATGAACAACACATCCAACGTATGCGCTGCGCTCTCCAGCTCAAGTTGTGGCAAGGAGAAGACAAATGGAACTGGCACTGGAACCACGAGCAGCAGCAGCAGCAGCACCGTCACGCTGGCGGGCCAGCAGGAGTCGCTGGCGCCGCCGCGCATGACAAGGCCGACGCCGCTGCTGGTCGCGAACGGCGTGTTCAATGCGAATGCACGCAAACTCTTCCACAAGAGCAACACAGACTTTGCGGTAATCGGCGTGCTGGGCGCACAGAGCGTGGGCAAATCCACGCTGCTCAATCTGTTGGCAACGGAGCGCTCCAGCGACTATGACTACTATCAGCATCTGTTTGGGCCGGAGGCGGACGAGTGCACGTTTGCGACCAGGCCACGCGCCAAGTCGCAGCAGGCGCCGAACAGTAGTTCCTCCGGCTGCGCTGCCGCCTCCAAGCAGGTGCTGCGACCGCGCACCGAAACGTTGCAGTTCTTTATAACCCGGGAGCGTTATGTGCTGCTGGATACGGCGCCGATGCTGAGCGGCAGCACGGCCAAGGAGGCGGACTATTTGGATCTGCAAACGTTGTCCACCATGATGCAGCTGCTCAGCGTCTGTCATGTGCTGCTGCTGGCCCTGGATGAGATCAGTTTGGAGCAGCTGCGTCTGCTGCACGCCGCACTGCGTCTACGTCCGCGCACACCCTGCAAGGGCTATGTACGTGACTATCTGCCGCAGTTGTTGTTTGTCCGGACGCGCGCCAAGCGTCAGGATTACGAGCCTGCCAGCCGTGAGCGTCTGGACAGGCAGTTGGAGCTGCTGTTCGAGGGCACCGGCCTGCCCATCTATCGAGGACGCGGCGAGGCGCGCACCCTCAACAGCATGCTGCTGCCGGAATTCTATGGCAATGCGGCTGTCGCCCATCATGCTGGCGCCGCGGAGCTGGTGCGTCAGTTCCGGGAGCGTGTCTTCGGCATGGTGCGCGTCTCCATGTGCCAGAGCAACGATTTCAGCGAGACGCTCTGGTTCGAGCTGCTCGCGGAGACGTCACGCAAATGCGCCGCAAGCAGCCAGAACTTTGAGCAGATCTATGCGGAGATCAAGCTGCGGCATCTCGAGCTGCGCCCCAAATGGCGACCCGAGTCCAACTGGCGCAACGAGTCCTGAGACATGCCCCAGCATGCATTCGAGCAGGATAGCTATATAGACTTATAAACATAGACATAGACATATTATATTGTGTATATACTATACTTTATATATGTTAAGGCCTTAGCACTATTATTGGATGATGGGTGTACGGACGGGACGGGCGGACTCTATTGTGCGGCCTTTACAGGGTATCAAGAGAAAGAAGGCATTATATATTCCGGATGGGACGTCTTTCACTTGCAACTTTGCATAGATACTTTCCAATACAGATGTCTGATTCGACCAGATCGTTTATATATATATATATAATATATTGTGGCAAAAACCCTTTTCTATATATCTTGATAAAAAATTTGGGGGGTTACGAACCTACTTCTCCATTACAAGCATAACTAGGGGGGGTGGTTAATTTTGTAAGCTGGGGAATGGGAATTTACAATAAAGCTTAATATGCTTGCAAATTTTTGGTATCATTATCGACTATGATTCTCGTAAAATGCTGGGAAAAAAACGTCTAGGAATCGATATTTATCGTTTAGTGAATATCGAATTAAAGGAAATATTTTGTAATCGATTTGATGATGTCGCTGAAAATCGATAAATATCGGCAGTTCGATAAACACAGTTATCGATAAATGTTCGGCTCTTTTAAACTCAGACATTAGTTGAATAACAAATCGATATTTATCGATATTGAAGAAAGAGAGCAAGATTTGAAGAAAATAGAGCTTGTGGACTTTGGTAACAATAATTATGAATTTGAGAGCTGGGCTTACTTTTCTAGCTTGAGACTGTACGGAGGCAAATGCAGCTGGTCGATAGGGAAACAGCTTGTCATTCTGTTCGAGAATATATATATGATATAAATTTACTCTATATATGGTATATATCTACTATATATAAGGAGCTAAGAGATACTTCCTGGATAGAACAAAGCTATTGGATAACAGATAACAGTTGACAGGGTCTACATTTTGGTCCTGCATTTGAAATTCGTTTGTTTTATTTAACTACTTTGTGTCGTCGTATATCTCTAGATATATATATATATATACATATATATATTTGTGCTAGCAGGAGCGGTGGGTGGGTGGGGGGTCTGGTGTTGTTTTATGGTCAAGATGTGTGTGTGTGTGTGCGATATCACGTTTGCTTTGCCTCAGTCTCAAAATCGAGATCATTTTCGTTGCTTTGGTTCACAATTAAGTCTGGCGGCTCGTTGTTTGGACGCTGATCCTCCTCCTCCCGCTGCTGCTGCCGCTGATGCTGCCTCTGTTTTTGCTGTTCGTAGTTGTTGGGCGGCTTGCGGCATACCCAGAAGAGGCTCTGGTATTCGCTTTGCTTCATCGATAGCGGATTCTGTGCATATTTGGTGCGTATGCCGCTCCGTGAGCTCAATATATCGAAACCAACGCTCTCCATAATTATGATCAGATCCTCGTACGTTGGCTCGATGCTGTTCTGGCCATTGATGTCGCTATAGTGATACAGCAGCGGTCCGAGATTCACCCAAATGCCGCCAGGCACTAGAATTCTGCAAAGCAAAACGACACAAATTACAACAGAGCACAACATGGCGCAACTGCATCCGCCAGACTCACTTGTAAATTGTGCGTATAAAATCAATAACATTGTTGGCACAATCGATAAAGAAGCATGTGGCGACACAGTTGTAGGCGTCCGGCGTTTTATAGACCTCAAGGAAATCACCAGCGGCCATCTCGATGTTGCCCTTGGGCGGATTCCTAACCGGACAGACATCGGGAAAACGCACCGAGGCAATCTGATCGGCGCGTCGCATATTATTAACATACTGATGCACCCACGGATAGAGCACATGCTTGTTCTCATAGTCGCACAAATTGAGCACGAAATTCGAGGCGATCAGCATAAAGTAGGAGAACTCGTTGCCCTCGCAGGCATAACCGCGACAGGCCAGCTCGTAGGTGAGCCTGCCCAGGCCAGCGCCAGGCACCAGTATCTTAATCTCATTCAGTGCGCTGCAAACGATCAATTGTTCAGTTTTACATTTATATATATATAGATACATCAGTTGATACTCACTAATCGCTTGGCTTGTAATACTCCTCGATGCTGTCGATGATGGGCTTGTAGGACTGTTCGCGCTCCACGGCGCATTCGGCGCTCCAGTCCCGTGCGATCAGTTTCAGTGTGGACTGAGCCTTTAAAATTTTTAGAGGTTCAACATCATCAGCAATAACATCATCATCATCATCATGAGCATCAACAAGATAATTAGTCTAAGATAGAGATTTGTTCTTTACAGTTTTTCAAAGCAAACCAATTACAAAACGAAGTCTTCTAATGAAACATGCCAATCGATTCGCAGTGAAAGCTACAGTGGACAAAAAAGAACCGACTGCCTAGCTAACGATCTATATAGCATATACATATATACAACTTTCTAGCATATACACACATCTATCAAATATTTTTTGATATTTCTACATGTATTTACCTTATGTGATGGAGCTGCACGCTAAGACGGGGTTTCGGGAGATTCCACTCGAATGTGTGGAAAAATAGCGAAAAAACGTTTGATTGAAACTTTTTTATTTACCATCCGATCGGATCATTTGCTTTGTATACATGAAAACATGCATGCACGCTTACATGCATGCATGCTTACATGTATGCATGCTTACATGTATGCATGCTTACATGTATGCATGCTTACATGTATGCATACATACATATGTACATACATACATGTGCACATACATGCATATGTATATACATACATACATGTGTACATACATACATGTGTACATACATACATGTGTACATACATATGCACATACATATATACATACATATGTACATACATATATACATACATATGTACATACGTACATGCATATGTACAAACATATATATGTACATAAATACATACACACAAATATACATACATACATACACACATATATACATACATATGTACACACAAACATACATACACATGTACAAACATACAAATCTACACACATACATTTGTACAAAATAAAGCCAAAAAAATAGCCAAAAATAAGCCACAAAAAAGCTACTACACGATTCGCTTAGCGTGAAAAACTCCAGAGACTACTTGAATTCTTGAGAATCGAGGAGGAGAGCACTTGGTAAAAATTTCTTTTTATTTAAATTTGCAGCACAGCGACAAATTAGCTAGGTGTGCGTTTGGCTTTAGAAAACAAAGATGCATGCACACATATACACATATATGTACATACATAAATGCACACACTGACATACACACACACATACACACATACATACATACATACATACAATATGTAGTTGACTGACTTGATAAGATGAATCGAACAGGAGTCAGATAATTTAACTTAAATCTCTACAGCTACATAATTCAGGATTGGCATGCACAACAGTTATCTTAGATGATCAAATACCTATATATTAGCTATATACGCTGTACTCAGAGAAAGTTATGCTACACCAAAAGCCTCATATACAAAGGTGAGGTTGGGAATCGATATTTAGCAAATATTCTTGAAAATAAAAATATAAGCTGCTTAATAATAAAACAAAATGTGAACAGATAGATGGATGGGATATTGAAGAATATATATATATATATATATATATATATATGCATATGGGAATCGATATATTCCCTTACGAGCAAAAGTTAGGTTAGGTATGCTTTGGCGAACGGTATCTTAACCCTAGCACTGCTTTAACGTTTCTCTATTTTTGTCCACTGAGCGTAATTAAATGGAAAATGTAACAGGAAATATACTGGTATGAGAAATGGCTGTAGTGGCTGTTCCCACTCACTTGATCCATGTCGCCGTGTCGCACATGGTCGGGCGCCTCCTCCAGTTCGATGTCCGCGTCGCCATCGCCAGTTGGATAGAGGACACGATCGCGCAAAATCTCTCGGATCACAGACTGATTGCCGTCAATGCAGCTGCGCACGTTGTCCAAATGCTTGCGGTATTTGGAGAGCAGACGCTGATCTTCCATGGACAAACTGTTAAGGTAATCCTCCGTTTTGTTAACCCTTAGGTAGGCATAACGTCTGTTTGGAGCAAAATAAACGATTAGAGCAAGTGTCCTACATATACATGCATACAAACACGCATACATACACCCACACACCCACACAGACACACAGGCACACATGTGCACATGTTAAGCCGCTTAAATTGATTTTCGTTATCAGCTGTTGAACATGCACATGCACGCATACACACATGTGCACGCATATGTGCATATATGTGTGTTAGTGTGTGCTGCGGGTAGTAATTTGCATCAGCGCGTTTGGCTTAAATACCGTTTGTTTACAATTCCATGCACCCACCTGTAGTACTGAAAGGCATTCTGCACTTTCTGTATGTGCCGGCGCTCCTCTTCATCCTCTTTGGCGGTAAATGCTGGCGCCTGATCTCCATGCATTTTGGGATGCATAGGAAATGGCAACGATGGCACCATATCACTCATGTTCACAAAAATGTTAAATGTACTACCTAATAGACGCCTAAAAACCTAATAAATTTTTAACTCAATTAATCGATACTGCACGTACAATTATCGGCAGCCAGTGTTACATAGTTTTCGAACAAATATCGTTTTGTTATATCGCAATAAAGTTATCGATATACGACACTGCGCATCGAACAATCGGCAGCTTCTTTAAATCGTAGTAATTGTAATTAAATTAAATGCTTATACATGAACTTTTAGATTAACGAAAAAACTGAGCTGACCAGCTTTAATTGAATGAGAGTAACCGTTAGTCATGCATATTATTTATTTATTAAGTGCATAACACGTACGTAACAAAATGTTTTGCAATAAACAATTAAAGCTTACACAGAATAAACAATTTTCAACCATTTTGGATTAAACGCAACGGCTCAGGCGTGTCAACACAATAGCATCAACGAAAGAGTTTAGTATAATATATATATATATATAAGCATTTGTACAAGCAATTGTTAAGTGTCATTGGGTTCAGATGATGCCATTTGTTGAGACGCATTGGCTGGACATGTGTATGTGTGTGTGTGTGTGTATGTACATACTTGTAGTATAATTTAGTGTAATTAAAGTTAATACTTAGAATTAAATTGTATCGCTGCTGGGCATATGTGTGTGTAAAAAACAATTGTACAGTGTTCGCTTGTACAAATTTAAGTAAATAACAGCGCATTTGACCACAGGAGTATTTCGAGTTGCGACATATATAAAAATAAAACATAGACCGCGTTCAAAATGTCTAAATTGCGTAGGGGGCGGGGGGCAAGTTGGAGGGTGAGTACAAATCTCTCACACACACACATTCAGCCATCAGCCGGCGGCGGCTGCTCAGCCTCAACGGCCAGCTCTACGAGCGGCCTTTCAGCCTCGCGTTCATGTGGCACCTCCTCCGGCGGAGACTGTGGCCTTGGTTGCTGTTGCTGCTGCTGCTGCTTGTCTG